CATTTGTATTAACATTTTTGTATTAATTTCTAATCTATCTTGTTCAAACAGAATGTGTCACGGTTTTTCAGAAATACAGTAGTACAATTGTTTTTTAAGTACATAAGTAGTAAGATAAGAAACTCAATTTTAAAATTCAGGATTTCCAAAAACATAAACTTACAAATGTACAAAATGGGTTTTTTTCCTTCAGTTCCTCCTGACTTACATCACTCATGCAGACTAACATTAACCAAACTAAAAAGGAACTGAAACACAAGTTAGAATGCCAATATATTAACAAGCAAAAATATACAATACTATCACAAAGCCTGGACTGCTTTGTATTGGAGGGACAGCATTTTCTTTTTATGAAAAATTTATATGAAAAGTCAATTTATAATAAGGTTTCAGATCTAGAAACAAGCTTCTTAAGTAGTGTCCTCCACCTAAGAAAATTCAAATCTCACAAGCTATGGGGAACACTATAGCTCTTCCTATACCACCAGCCCACCATCACTATGAATCCTTATAAGCATAGCTAAAGTTTGTGTCTTTAACTTGCTTTTGTTGTTCTCACTTTTTTAAAAAGCTAGTCCAGGATAACTAACCCTCATTAATGAAACTCTTCCCTTAAATATTTGAAACCACAAAGTAATTACTGTTAGGAATTTTTACTTCCCACTTCAGACCTGGGAATATATTTTAAAACAGCAAAATTTGGATAAAGGACTTGATCAACTGTGACTGGATTTTACAACTTAATTACCAGAGTTTTATGCCCCTACTAATGAATACCATCGTCACGTCATTTCTTTACTTGGAGTCACATTTCCTTTCAGAAATGCAGGTCTTAAATAGTTATATAAGGGACTAATACCTTTGATCTTAGTTCCTTATCAGTAAAATAAGAAAAATTCTCTTCAACTACAATCTGTAGCTCAATCATTTATTTCAAATTCCTCTTAAAGGTCAAAAGAAAACTTTTAAACCCCTAAAAATATTTTTAATCAACTTCTTTGAAAGACCCTTGAACCTAATGCAACCCAGAAATTAGTTATTAATACATGTGTCCTTTTACTTACACCCATAATGTACAGATCTGAACTACCAGTTACATAAACTTAAACATAGTATGTGTACATATACACTTAAATACTTATCACATGAATTGATATATATACATACACACACACACACAATTGCTAATTATAATAAGCATACCTACCAGTTTTACACTCTAAACTCCATTCGTCTGAGACTTCAGTCAACATGTCTCAGATATATAAAGTTCAGAGATTTTTGTGTATCATTGAATCTAATAATTGGCTTTCTAAGAAATTCACTGACACTCAGAACTTGGCTAAACTAAAAAAATGTATTTTTCCAATTTTATCAGAAGGGAAAAAAACCCAAGTCAATTCACAAAATAGATTTTCTATCAATGTCTCTTCCAACTTCTCAATGATAGCTCAGGCACTTCAGTAAGCAATCTGTTTGACAATTTTAAAACATCCTTGAGGGCCTCCCCGGTGGCACAGCGGTTGAGCGCTGGGTTGCGAAGCTGCCCTCAGCCTCTGCAGCGCCGGTTCGATCCCCAGCCCCTGGGCAAGGGTCCCACATGGCGCGCAGACTTCTCCTGCTGCCGGCTGCTCCCCTCAGCAGTGTACTTCGGTCCTTATGCCTGCTCTGCTCCCCGCTCTGGCTCTGGTGAATTCTCTTACCCTCCCACACTTCTGACTGTACCTAGTGCTTGTATAAATAAATAAATAAATCTTTAAAAAAAAAAAAAATCCTTGAGTTTTCCTTAGAGGCTAAGAATCTCATCATTCCAAAATGCAGTCTAGCTCTTAATTCTTACTGTGCCATGGAACAACTCACTTAGCCATTACCTGTGCTGGTTCTGAGCTATCCAGTAAGTCCCCGCTGTTCTAACACAGACCTGGGAGTCAAACTACTCCTTTTAAATGCTGTAACCAACTGTCATCTTTTTGGCGATCTCTACGCCACCTTCAGAGGTAACATGGTGCATTAATTCCTGACCCTTTCTAAGTTCCTTTGGCTTCAATCATCTTGCTTCTTCACTGCAGCTGTTCCACCTGAAGGCTATGTTTTGGCTTTCTTGGGGTTGTTAAATCTGTTTGGTCACCACTCTTCTCTCTCCTTCCAGTGTTTTGTTGATCTTTCTTATTTCTGCTCTACCTCCCTGTCATTCATGTTTTCATTTCCATGTAACTATGCATTTTTAGTCACTTTGGATGAATCAATGAAGAAGCAGAAATAAACACATTTAAATGACAGTGGCGCAAAACAAGAAAGGTTCTATTTCTTTATATTTCCCTACTCCATTTTAGGTCTTTCGTGATCTTCTCTTTCCTAGGTCCTAATTAGTTGCATATTGGTTCAAAGTTACAGAATACAAATCAATGCATAAGGTTATTTTTCAACTAATATCTTTAACTTCTCAGTCAGATAATAACAAAGGAATAAAAATTACTCAAAAGTTCTAAGCCCTCCATTAGTGAGACAGCAAAAGTTTAAACATGGAAAATTATAACTTATGAAGGACAAATACAATGAGCCTTTGGAGTCAAATTCTGAACATCATATACTTCCAGTTCTGAAGGCCAAGGAGAATTGATACTTTCTTAATATAACATATCTGACCCACCTGCATGACATCCCATTTTTTTCTTATTTGGAACCCTGAGAGCTGTCCCTTCATAAGAAGCACAGATAATTCCTCCAAAGACCAAAAATAGGAATTTATAAAACACTTTGTTTCTCTTTCCTTATTTGAACTTGTATAGTCTTTCAAGACCGAATGACATAGGCAAATAGCAAGAGTCTATGAAGCCCATCTATTTAGCAAGAGAAGAGCTTTCCTTTGACAAATGGCCAAGAAGTACCAATCATGTACCCCTGAAACATGGTTTCCAAGGATTTCCTGAGATATATCCAAAATATAAATTATATTCCATACATTCTTCACGAATTGTAATGGAGACAAAACTGAGTCACGAAGTATTTCAAAATAAAGGTTTTGGTTACTATGAAAATTTTATGACTGCTGGTATCAATTAAGTAAATAGAAAACAAGTGTCCTGCTTTATTTTCAATAACAAAGCTTTCCAGAACATTCTTTTTTTTTTTTTTTAAAGATTTATTTATTTATACACGCACTGGGTACAGTCAGAAGCAAGGGAGGGTGAGAGAATTCACCAGAGCCAGAGCGGGGAGCAGAGCAGGCAGAAGGACCAAAGTACACTGCTGAGGGGAGCAGCGGGCAGCAGGGGAGGTCTGCGCGCCATGTAGGACCCGCCTCCAGAGGCCGGGGAGCAGCCGGGGATCCAACCGGCGCTGCAGAGGCTGTGGGCAGCTTCGCAACCCAGCGCTCAACCGCTGTGCCACCGGGGAGGCCCCAAACATTCTTTTACTTTAAAAGTGAGTTTCTTTTTAATATTCACCTATCTCAGGCTGCCTCAGAAGACACAAAAAAATGCAAAATAATGCAGGAGGTTTTTTTCATAGAAAGGAAAATTGAAATTTAAAAAGTGCACAATTCCCTACATCTAATTACTAAGTATTCAAAGATTCTACTAGCCAAGAGCCCATCGGGTTCCATAGGATTACCTGCATGTCGGAACTATGCTGTCACAATAGGACACTGGCATGTGATACGTGCAGGATTCATACACAATGGTTTGAAGGCACTCTCCCCTCCCATTACCCAGAAAAATGGAAGACTACAGAGATGAGAAAGACCTGGAACTGTTTCAGTGCTTGCATGAATTTCAGATGTTACCACTGGCCTGGTTACAAGAATCAAGGGTCATTATGTCTCTTTATACTTGTATTTTCCAAATGACAACATTTAGAAAGTAAAAGAACCACTGGGGATGCGACTTGGGCCCTTTGGCTGGTTTCTGGGGCATGTGAAAAATTAAGGGAAGTGAAGGGGGGGGGTGTCTCTTTTCCTGATAACTTGCTACCCTCCTTTGAGTGGACCCTCACTAGCTTCCTTGTCATTCATTACAATTTCCCATTATGTGCCTATACTTACAGACGTGTATGAGCCTTCCTCTGATTGGCATAGCCCAGGAACACTATGCTAAACAGATACCATCTATCTTGAAATACAAACAACTCACACTTCAGTCCAAGGTTTAACATGCTACCACAGCTCCCCTCTCGCTTCATGAAATTTAAACACTCTAACAACATGCACGTAGACCTCTGTACTCCCCACTTCCCACCCCTCCAACCTCACCCACGCTCCATGACTTTACCCAGATGTAAAAAACTAAGTAACAACACGCCCCCTTTCACCCCCAGAGCTCCTCACTACTGCTCCCCTAGATCACCTTCTCCCATTCCCACCCTCCATTTCCTCAATGAGTCCTCTATTTCCGTACAAAATAAAGCGCGATTGGGCCTCAATTCCAGAAATCTAGCACCCTCAAATCTACTTCCCAAGTGAAAGAGTTGGATTAACTTGTGCTCCTCGGCCCACCTGCAGCACCTAGCCATGAGCACAGTCTGCCTGTGATGAAGGGGTTCAATTAAGGTTTGTGAGAGAATGGATAAAATGAGCAAAGGCCATGAAACTTGATGTGGGCGTAAAAGTTACAACTCCCACAAGCAGGGGCGAAAGGCTCCTAAAACAGCGCCTCCAAATGAGACCCCACAGGGGTCCCTGAACTAAGCATCCCTTAGCTCCAACCGTGTCCTCCTCAGCCCAGCTCCGCGCAGCTCAGCCCAGCTCGCGCAAGGCTTGGGGAGCTTCAGGAGCCGTGGCGGCAGCCCCCGCTGTTCGTCCCTCTGTTCCAGCGCCAAAGCCGTTGTCTCCGAGCGGCCGGCAGAAATCCAGCCGAGCTACAATGGCGCTGGCAGTCTCGTGTGGGGTCTGGCTGAGTCTGCGAGTGCCGCGGAACAAGTGCCGCGGGCTGCCCTGAGGGGCGCTGGGCTGGGAGCGGGAGGCCGAAACCCGGGACCGCGGGGCGCGCGCGGCGCCGCATTACCTCTCCAGGGCCTGCAGGGTGTAGCTGATGAGCGGCCTCTCCAGGATGGGGCAGAACTGCTTCGGGGTGGGGACGCCCATCCTCTCCCCGCTCCCCCCGCGGGCAACACCGCGGCCACGGCCGGCGCGCGGAGCCCTGGCTCGGCCCGGGCCGCGCTCGGCGAGGAAGCCGAGGCCGCCTGCGCCGCGCCGGGCAAGCTGCGCAAGCAAGGCCCCGGCTCCGCGGGCCCGCAGGCGCCCGGCAGCCCGCGCTCCATGGCGGCGAGCGGCGAGTGGGGCTACAGGCTCCGCGGCCGCGGGTGTCCTCTGCCGGGGTCGCGGGGTGTAGGGGCGGAAGGGCAGGGGCGCGGGTAGCGCCCACTCGAGCGGCGCGGGCCCGGCGGCTGCGGGACCCCAGGGGACAAACCGGCTGCCTCTCTTCCCTCCTGGCGTGTCTGAGGCCTCTGCCAGCGCCCCCGGGAGGGCTGACTTTCTCGGCTTTTCGCTTCTCCCTTGCAGAACTAGAAATCACCTCGGCTGCATGGGTCAGTCGTATAGCTAAGGCTTCCATTAAACTTAACAAACAGTGACTATACAGTAGAGGTCTGGAACGACCTCCCAGTCCTGTTTTGAAGACATTTGGAAGAGATGCGCATTCAAGTCACAGGATGCCATGAAGATGGGCCCCCTGATTTTCACTAAGTTCCCTAGGAGGTGGATGAGATGTTATTATGACACAGCAACACCCAAACACCCGGAGTTCTCAAATTTATTTTGAAATTGGATTCATTTGGGGGACTTAAGAGGGCTGAGGCCTCAGAGATTAGGATTTAATTGGTCTAGTGTTTGGCCTAGGTTTTGGAATGTTCTCGAAGATCCCCAGGTGATGATTCTGGTGAGCAGGAACATTTTGGAACCAACAGACTGAAGCATATCTTGCCCTTATTGAGTACTGTCGTTGCTTAGCAATGTTTACCATGAAAATGTTTGTGAAGAAATTGGAGTGTCAGCATTTTGTTTTAGGTCCCTAAAATGTAAACTCCATGACAGCAGGGCCTTAACATTGGCTTATACTATTATGTAAGTTTCAGATGTACAACATTGTAAGTCAACTCTGTTGTGTTCACTAACACAAATCTAGTTTCCATCCTTTTCCTACTTTTTTGATTCGGATTGTGTGCCCTGCTCCTGGAATGTAACAGAAGTTTAGCAGATACTTATTCGCTGAATTATGGATTGAATAAATAAATGGTAATTGAAGGTATATGTAATTATTTGCTAATTCATACTTACCCATCTTTACCCATCAATAGTTAAAATTCTGACATAAGGAATTATTTTAACCAAGACCCCCCCAAAAATGCTGTTAATTAAACACTATTTATTAAGAATTTTTATTTCATATTCTAGAAAGTATTTTAGACTTTGATATAGATGTTTTAATCACATGTTACTCATACACTCATAAAAAAGAAAATAGAAGTAAAATATATTGATTAAGGTATGCCCAAAACACCTTGAAATTCAGAATTTGGCACTCCTGAGTATTTTTGTACTCATTTATATACATGTTCTCCCACAAAATTCCCATGTTTTTCTCTGTGTAGCAAAAGGATTGGTGAATCTGGATATCCCCAATACTATTGCACTATTGTCAGTGGCATCAAATTCTTTGACATTAACATTCTTTGCTAGCTTTACTGTCCAGAAAAAAGTTAATGGAAGGATTTCAAGCAACGACCATAGTTTGTATTTTTGCCCCACCACCATCCCTTGTATTCCACTGACCCTTTCTCCCTCCCCCCTCACATTATTAGTGTCCTCTACTTTTTATGAGTATTGTCAAATTGTCCACTTTGTAAACATCCATTATTAATCTTTGTCATTCTGACTTACTACACATAATTCGCTGCAACTACATCCATTTTGCTTTAAATGACCACATTTTGTCTTTCCTATGCCTGAATAATATTCCTACCATTTGGCTGTATTCATTTAATATTTCTAATAGAGTTTTGATGGAGTCTTTGGGGCTTTCTGCATATTGTATCACATCAGCAGCCAATAAAGATAGTTTCAATTTTTCTTTTACAATCTGGATTCCTTGTATTTCTTGTCATTGATTGCTCTAACTAAAACGGCTAATACTTAATTAAACAGGAATGATGGCTTTAGGCATCCTTGTCTTGGTCCTGATCTTAAAGGGAAAGATTTCAGTTTTTCAACATTAAATATATTTCACCATTAAGTATAAAATTTATATCTGAGTAACTCTAAAATACTTTCTAAAATATGAAATAAAAATTCTTAACTAATAAACATAAAGTGTCAATGTTTAATTAGCATTTTTTTTTTTTGGTCTTGGTTAAAAAATCCCTTTTGTATGACTGTATGGCCTTTATTATGTGAGGTAAGTTTTTTCTATTTCCATCTTATTTAGAATTCTTATCAAAAATGGATAATGAATCTTATCAAATGCTTCTTCTGCATCTAATGAGATTATCTTATAATATTTTCTCTTGTTGATGTAATATATTGCATTGATTGATTTACATATAAATCAATCCCACTTGATTAATTCCACTTGATAATGATGTACAATACTTACATTATCGAATTTGCTCTGCTAGTGTTTTGTTGAAGATTTTTGCACCAATATTCATCAGGGATATTGGTCTGTAGTTTTATTTTCCTATGTCCCTTAACTAGACCCTCAGCACAGATGTCAATATACACTGCATGATATATCTTGGACATATTTAAAAATTAATTTCAGAGAATATTAGATCAATTTGGGTTAACTTTTCTAACATTAACCCAAGTAATTAGCATTGTCAGTCATTCCTCTCCTCCCTAACCACATTTATTGTTTTAGTAACATTTCTAGAGGTTAGTTGGGGTGTTGCTCACAAATGCTAATGAACTGCTTAATGGTTTACCCTTTAATTTTGTTGAAATAGGAGCCAAAGAAAATAAATTATAGTTCTACCATGGACCAGGCCGAGTATTTCTCTTAGTCTGTGAATTCTAATTCCTGTTTTGTCATTATGTATCTTATGTAAATAAATGGTACAGTCTATTAACCTTTGTCCTTTAATTCATTTTATGCATAAAAAAAGGTGACACTCAGATTCGAAGTTTCTTTGTGGATAATTCAAACTAAACACATGACAAGATTGTTATCTTTCACTTTCTCAATATTTCTTGTAAAGTTAATTATCAACTGTCTCAACCATTCACTTTGCTTTTCCTCTGTAGCTAAAAAGGGAAACAAGGGTAAATATTTAGCCTTACAAATTAATGATAACTTAGACAATATTAATGGCACCAAAGTTCAACTTTTCAAAGAATCACCTGGGGACAATTGTTAGTACATACAAAATTGTTGTATATTTTATATATAATAAGTTACATATTATGTAATAATTTTAGAAGATATATTACTGGCTTTCTGAAAGAAAGAAGTTGTGATAATTGTTATAACAAGTGGAGACTAATACAGCTTCATGCCAAGAAATTTCTGAGAGAAATTTTGAACTCAGAAGTTCTGGAGCAGGTCTAGAAATCTGCATTTTAATAGACTTCCTTAGGTGATTCTAAAGTTGGTATGGACCAAACTTAAATAAAATATCTACACCTCAGATCACTTTATATTCCATGCATTTAATTTCAAGACTTAAAGCAAAATGTAAGTTATATGTAAAATATGTCATATAGAAATTCATAAGAAATCCATTAAAATGGTCTGCTTTATTTCCTCGTTAATTTATGAGTAGAGAAAGACAAGGGGGGAAACGTTTAACTGCCAGCAAAAAAAAAAAAAAACATGGTAGAGAAATGGAGAATCAAATTCAAAGCCCACCTCTGAGATATTGTGGGTTGGGTTGCAGGCCACCATAATAAAGTGTAAATTGCAATCAAGCAAGTCAAATGAATTTTTTGGTTTTCCAGTGACTATCGTTATGCTTATACTATACTTTAGTCTATTAGATGTGTAACAGCGTTATACCTAAAAAAAAAAAAAAAAAAAAAGTACTTGCCTTAATTAAATGCGGCACAGAGACAGGAAATGAGCACATACTATTGGGAAATGGTGCCAATACGTGTGAGGTATGCCTGTTTTCCCTTGGTTTCCTACAGTTTTGTCATTTAAAAATACCTCAACTCTGAGAACCACCAATGGCCAGATCTTTGACCATAATTTAAACAGAATTGAAATTGTTGCCCAGAACGTTGCTCTCAGCTCAATTCAAGTGAGAAATGCTACATAACTCCAAAAACTATAATGAGGAAATGACCTCTATGAATAAGGAATGTGGGTGAATATCTCTGAAACAAATGACTAGCCTAAAATTGGTGGTGCCCAATTTTCATAATCTGTGGAAAGGAATAACTTGAAATCACCAAAGAGAACAACAGCTAGAAAGGAAAGATTTTCCTATTTCTGCAAGGAAAGATCTCAGCTGTGATTCCTATATAATTTAACATCAACTCATTACTAGAACAAGATTATAAGGGGCGGGGGGAGAACCTAGGCTTTAAGAAGAAAATGCTCCCAGAGAATTCAAAATTATATCTGCTACCTGAGGAATAAGAAAAGTGTAAACTTGTGAATGTGGCATTATGACCACATCCATCACCCCCATCCCTAGGCCCCTGTCAACCATAAAGTCAACTTAGGCATGAGAGGCCCAATAAAGCCTGAATGTGGGGCATCATTGCCTTATAATTCCTTTCCCATGAGAGTGCATATTCTTGGTCAAAAGGAGTTATGCTATGGTGAAGTAACAGAGATGCAAAATGGGTAACATGAATTAAGAAAGAAAGACAAGACTGAGACTCTGATAATATAGTCTCTCCAGTGATACCCAAAGATTCTAGGATATAAACAAGCTTTTCATTTGCATTTAAAAAGTTCACCTCATTGTTCTAGTATGAGGCACTTACTAGGCTAGGTAAAAAAGGAAAAGGGAGAGGAGGGAAGAAGGAGGAACAAGCAGGAGGGTAGGAGGGAGAACAGAAGGGGAAAAAGGAGGAGGAAGAGAAACAAAGTTTGGGCAGATGCTGCTTAATCCAGTTAGGAGAACAATAACGAATCATAACTGGTTGGGATGAGAAGAAAGACAAAGTTTTCTGTAAAAGAAAACTGGCATGTTGCAAAGAAAAAGAAATGAGGTCACCGTGTTATTAATGTTGTATGTGAATATGAGTAAGTTAAGAAATTAAGTACTTCCATTTGTGACCACAGCTACCTGTAATAGGCTTAAGATTTAAGTGA